CATGTCAATTCATACAAAATCTCAGTGCTTAAATTAAACAAGTTTAAAATAATGTTTTGGGACAAATTAATTATATGATATAGTATAAGATAGCAAAACAGGTTTGGTGATTGTTGGTGACACACCACTTAAATTCACACTTAGTCATTTATTGGTCTTTCCTTTTTTGACTAATTGTTTTTCAGTTTCCACACACTCTTTCGAAGATTGGAAAAACAATGAACATAAATAAATTTGAATGTTTATTAGGGATCTAGAAAGATTTAAAAGGGTCCCCTACTGTGTGAATTTATTGAGTAACATTTTAGGTTAAATTCGAAATATGGTTTTGCATTTATTGAATTGGTTGTAGACTAATCTGGTTGTCGGATAGAGGTGGTTGGACTTGTACACTTTGACATTTTCGCATTCAATTGTGTAAAATTTTACATAATGTGTTTTATCGGGTGTATATTTTACAAAACCGTGGATATCTGATAATTTTCTTAATTCGGATATTTTCCAATTCCTTAAAAAAAAATTGAGAATTATATGAAAAAAAGACTCTTTGAATTTTGGATAAAATTTGATTTGTCGCAAAAAATAAATAAATTGGAATCTAGTATATATTACAATAACCGTACAACAAAGTTTGAAAAAAAAAAAACAGGAAATGTAAAAAGAATTACACAAGGACAGAAACAGACAATCACTCACATTATTGCTTATCTGTTTAGAGGAAGTGCGTCAGTGGTTGCGTCATAACTCTTTGACTTGTAAACAGATAAACAGATAAAGTAGAATCAATAAAATAATATTTAAATATTTGTTTTGGACCCAAAATAAAAGTTAAGTTCTTGGCCCAAAATTATAAAGCCCATATATACAAACCAAAGTAGGCCTAAGAAGCTGAGTCCAAAATAAGCCCAACATAATCCTAATGTGGCTTATGCAAGTGAAACTGAATGGCCTTTAATTTTCTTTTTCTTTTTTAATAATATTTTTTGTATTTATTTAATTTGAATGATCATTTCTAACAGTCTATCGAGGACTTATTCGACCCTACACCCGGTGACAACATCGAGTGGATCTTTTGCTGCCACGTGTAATATTTAATTATTTATTATATATTCTCCACTTGCACCAACAGGGCCCCCATCCCTTGGCCCGACAAGAATTGATGGAGGAATGTAAATTATGGTAACTCAACGGCCCGTTAAGGTAGCGGACCTGGACCTGGTCCCTCATTGGAGTTGAAATTCCCACACTGCGGCTGCCCACAAGGAATCAACCCTCATTGGAGTTGAAATTCCCACACTGCGGCTGCTAGGATTCGATCCTAGGACCTTGCACCAACTTATCACCTCCGGAACCAGTTGAGCTACACCCATGCGGGCTTATATATTCTCCACTTGGGTTTACCTATAGGCGTTTTAGAAAAATACAAAAAAAACACATGGCAGCAAAAGATCCACTCAGTGTTTTATTACCGGGTGTATGGTCGAAGGAGTCCTCTCTTCGGCTATTTTCAAATTGGTACCTTTTAGTCCCGCAAATGCACCACCGAGCGGTTGAAATAAATGAGTCAGCGTCAATTGCCTCAAGTACAAACGAATCTCTTGTAAACGGTTGCTGGATGGAGCTTGTCGTACACAATCAGCCTAGTTTGATTTACGTCCCTTGTATAGTTTGTAAACGATTATACGAGAATGTAAATTTAGGCAATGTATCTATATAATTGGCTGGAGTTCCTTCGTTAAACGAAAAATTGTAGATGTTATGATTTTTTGAATATATAGGGAGAATAATATTTTGGGACCCCTAAAAGAAAAAAAAGATGTCTATCAATGAATTGATAGAGGATGTGGTTTAGCTAGAGCCATGCAATGTACCAAACCATCAATATATATAATATATTTTCCCTTCATTGAATTTTGGTAGGTGAGCTGCAAACTATTAATCAATATTAATGGCACCTTCATTTCAGTGAGCCCCTCTTTTCCTTTATCTATTTTCTCTGCCAAGAAATTAGGTCGGAATTCTGCACCACCTACACTCTCTACTCTCTCTCTCTCTCTATATCGATTGCAAATAGAGTTCCAAGGAGAAAAAAATGGCTTCTGATGAAGTGAAGCTGTTGGGTGCATGGCCAAGCCCGTACGTACTCCGGGCCCGAATCGCACTCAACATCAAGCGCGTGAACTACGAGTTCCTCGAGGAAAAATTCGGTACCAAAAGCGATCTCCTCCTCAAATCAAACCCTGTTCACAAAAAAATCCCAGTCCTCATCCACGGCGAAAACCCCATCGCCGAATCCCTAATCATCGTCCAGTACATCGACGAATTTTGGGCTTCCGGCCCCCAAATCCTCCCTTCCGATCCCTACAATCGGGCCGTCGCCCGATTTTGGGCCGCTTACATTGACGATAAAGTAACCTTCTTTTTTTTTATTTATTTATAACAATTTTCTCGAAATTAAAATAACCTAATTATCAAAATTGCAGTGGTACCCAAATGCAAGGGCGATATTAATGGCGGACGAAGGAGAAGCGAAGAAGGCAGCTTTGCAGGGAGCAATTGAGGGTTTGAATTTGTTGGAAGATGCGTTTCTGAAGTGCAGCAATGGCGGGAAGTTCTTCGGAGGTGATAAAATTGGGTACTTGGACATTGCATTGGGTGGTTTCTTGGGGTGGATTAGGGTTATTGAAAGAATGGGTGACGTCACTCTGATCGGTAATTGCCCTAATTTGTTGAAATGGGGAGAGAATTTCGCCGGCGATGATTCTGTTAAGGATGTCTTGCCGGAAACTGAGAAGCTCTTCGAAGTTGCTAAGTTCATCGTTGCTAAAACTAAGGCTTCTGCAAAACATTAAATTATGTATTAATTTTTGTTGTATTTGAATATTTTGAATAAATTATAAATGTATTTTCGCATAAATAAAAATTATTAATCCATTATTATTATTTTTTTGTCTTTTTTTTGTATTAATAAACAAAATAAAATAAAGAAATATATAGTATCCGAAAAGTACTACAATTAACTCTGATAAATTAAAATCTTATAATTACACTCCTAAAAATTGTAAGTAATATATAATTAGACCATGGCGAAGATAGACTTTCATCCCTGAAATTTGCATCGATTTCACATTTGGTCCGCTATGTTTACAAGAAACACATTTAGTCCCTCATGTTTCAAAATTTCAACATTTTTAGATATTTCCGTCAATTTTCCTTTAGTATTAACAGAATGAAGCATGTACCCACTACTGCCCTAACTGATGGACTAAATGATAGATTGACGGAAATGACCAAAAGTGTTAAATTATTGAAATATGATGGACCAAATATGATTTTTTTATGAACATGGGGATCAAGTATGAAATCGGTGCAAACTTCAAGGATGAAAACTGTAATATTTCCATTAGACCATTGTAAATTATTAGTTAATTTGAATTGAATAATATTAGATTAATTTTCTGCTAACTAACTAATTATAATTTGAAGTAGTACGTTACTAAGTTGTTTAGGGGATTATATTAAATGGTAAATTACGACCCCTTTGTGTTTGGGTAATTACAATCATTATGAATCTTCTTACATGTACACTCTTATAGTGTCAAATTCATCAAAATCTTCTAGATTTCATGAAAAAAAAATTCAGTTTGTACTTGTTTTACGCAAAAAATCCAGTTTCTGATGCACCACAATATGATATTTACATGCTAAGATACCCATCTTATGATCATCATCTTGTTCAAAATATTGAGCTCGAATTTGGTAAAACGGGTATAAAGTGGAGAAGATTCCACATAATCTAGACGATTCCACTAAATTTGACACCGCAAGAATGAATTTGTAAAAAAAAATCATAGTTGAGAATGGTAGTCGTAATTACCCAAACATGATGGGTATTTTCGTAAATTGACCTTACTTCAGGGGTTTGGCCGTAATTTTTTTTTTGGTTTGGCCGTAATTAATTCTAAATTAAATCTTAATATTAAATAACATTAAAGAATTTCTTGTTTACACAAAGAAAGCTCAGTAGCAGTAAAAGACAGTAGAATTTGATGGTGAAAGGCTGTGAAAACAGATTTAAAAGAAAAAAAAAGTGAGATGTGAATAAATAGTATGATATCTTCATCATATCCAAAACTCAAAATAGGAAACAGTACAATGACAGATATCTTCTGTTAGAGAGACGGTTATCTATCTATTCATTCATTCTAGGATAAACCTCAAACCCCCCAAATTACTGATACACTACTACACAAACTATCGATCAAGATTCAAGAAACAAACTCAACCTGGTTCTTGAAAATATATATATAGACAGATGGAAACAGAGATGAAATTGGACAAATGGGGTTATCAAGTAAGAACTTGTTCAGATTCTTGCATCTCTGCTATCAACTCCTATTATCACCAGGTCAGCAAATTTTATTTTAGCCCACTTCAATTATTATTTATTATTTTTTTTCAATTGTATATCTTGATTGGTGTCAATTTTATATGGGTTTTGACCCCCTTTTAATTTCTTGTTTTTTTTTTTCAGTTAATATTATATGGGTTGTCTGATTTCTTGTTAGGGTTTGCTGATTGGTAGTGTTAACTAAATGGGTTATCTGTTAGGTGCTTAGTTATGGAAGGAAAAGATCAGTAATAATGGAAGCCCCAAAGAGTGATCCAGAGTGTGTTTTAGGGAATATTCTGGCTGCCCATTTTCTCTGCTCCACCGGTTCTTCTCGTGTTCCGTTGCTAATCGATACCGCCAAGTCATTTCTTGTATATTTTTCTTTGTTTTTGACACAGTAATTTGTTTTTTTGTTTGAGGTTGTCTTGTGTTTATTTTTATGTGATTTTCTTTTCGTTTCGTTTTCGGGGTTGAATTATTTGTAGGAGTATGCTAGTTCATACGAGAAGGCGGTTTTCGAATGTGTTATGTATTTAATTTCTCCGGATCGAGACGATGACCTGGCTGTGGATCTGCACTCGAAGGTGATCTTTTGTAACCTTGAATTCTTGATTAGTTTTATAACTTAAATCGGTATTGACTTTATGCATTGACTTTTTTTTACAGCTTTTACGAGAGTTCCCTCGAGATCTCGTGTCACTAAAGAGAGCTCAAGTGCTATGCTTTTATATGGGTCGGGCAGATCTATCTTTGAAACTCGTCGAACAGGTACTTTTCTGTACTCATGGCAACTTGATCAGCAAATGTTGATTTTCGAAGGACTTGTCTGTAATTTTAACAGAGTTTATCCCGGATTATTTTTGATCAATTGCATGTAACAAATACAGGTCCTGCCGATGAATAGCCATGAGGATTATATATACGGCATGCTTGCATTTCCTTTACTAGAGCTTGGTCGAATGGAAGAAGCGGAAAAGGCCGGAAAAACGGGATATGAGATCAACGAAAACGATACTTGGTCACAGCATGCTGTGAGTTTGAATTAATTCTACTATAATAACCAATTTTTATTTTAATTTTTTTTTTCGTGTTTTTTCTGGATATAGCTTAATCCCTTTTACCGAAAAATAATCGATCAAATCAGAAATTTATGATTGACAAAAATTGCAGATTTGCCATGTTTACCAGCACGAGTGTCGTTTCAAAGAAGCAGTCGAGTTCATGAATAATTGTTCAAGATCATGGAGTTCTTTGTCATCTTTTATGTATGTAGTAAATATTCGTGTAAAAAAAACGATATTTTTATGATATGCTTCCAAAGTAATCATTTTTTTTCGTCGGTTTATTTAGGTATACACATAACTGGTGGCACGTGGCTCTGTGCTACTTGGAAGGACATGCTCCCATGGAAAAAGTTAGGGAAATTTACGACGAATGCATTTGGAAAGAATTGGAAAGAAGTGATGCAATTCCGCCAGAGGTCTCTCGTAATTCTTTTCTCGTAAATCACTTATTTTGAAAACGGGCCGAAAAAATATACTTTTATTTATTTATTTATTTAATTACATATGTTAAATGCAGGTGTACTTAAATGCCATTGGTTTGTTGTTGCGCGTGTATATTCGAGGCGGACACGATATTTTCGGGGACCGGCTAAAGAAGTTAGCCGATTGTTTGACGGATCAAGTAAGTGGCTACTACTATTAACTTCATCAAAATGCACGAAATAATTGCAAATTTCTATTGATTTCTCGTCTCCATATGTTTGACATAATTATTTAAAATCCATAAAATTGTATTTGACAATTTCATACTCGAACTTGAAACGTAGACCGTTTGGTTTCTGGAGTGGCACCTTGATATATTGATATTATGGGCATTGTCGCATACGGGAGAATTAAATAAAGCTGAAGATCTACTCAACGGCTTGAAATCCAGGTTGAATTAAATAAGATCTTTCAATTCCCTCGTCTCCCGAATTTTCCGATGCATATTTGTCGGCTTTTCATTTAAATTTTAACGCTTTCTCGTTTTGTTACTAGGGTTTCCATAATGACCAAGAAGAAACAACAGATAATGCAGAAAGGGCTGATAATGCAGAAAGGGCTTTCAGTTTGTTTCTGTTTTAATCTATTTTTTTTTTGAATATGTTAATTCTTTATCCAATAATAATAACTATTTCACTATTCTAGCTTGCAGAAGCTCTTCATAAATACGGGAAGGGCGACTATACGGAGGCATTGGAACTTCTTGGGCACGACTTTGATGCCATTAACTACAAGGTAATTATTGAGAAAAGAAAAAGAAAAAGAAAACGAAAACCCGTCGCCTATATTTATGTAGAATGACGTAAATACCCTTTTCTTGAACTAGATAATCGGAGCATCTGACGAACAGCTTGATGTATTCACTGAAGTACATATAAGTTTGCTGCTAAGCACCGGCAAAGCACACATAGCTACACAAGCTATTGAAAAACAGTTGAAGGAACGGGAGGGTGCACCGTTCTTATGGTTTCTCACGGTATATCTGAATACACCCCTCAAACTTGCATAAGTTTTCGCTTTCTCGACTTTAGGTTATTTCAATTTATTTTTACATAATTGTTTGAAATCGATAAATATATAGGAGAAGGCTTATTCGATATTAGGAAAGGACGCCGAAGCTGCAAGTTATGGCGAGAAAGCTCGGAAGTTAGAAGCTACACACTTCACTTAGCTAAACTTGACAATTTTCGTACCTACTACTATAGCCCGGAAAAATGTTGAGATGAGATGAATAAACGGAAATTTTCGATAAACGGCAATTTTCGATAAACTTATAAATAATAAATAAAAAAGGCAATTGTCTTCTCCGTGTAATTCCACGTGGTTAATGAATTTACAGTCGTCGTTCTTGTTTGTCGATGTTATACTTGGTGAAGGTTTCTCTTTAATAAGTTGTTTTAATAATTTTTTTAATTTACCATTCTTAGATTATTCATCCCATTATATCTATAGTTCATATCCATTAAAGATCCCTCCTTCACAAAATGTTAATTAATTACTATTGTATACTTAATTAAGTACTAATTACATTTTCATCATGCTAAATCCAAATGCAGTAAATCTATAAACAAATCTATTCACTACAGACAAAATCAAAAACATCTGACAACTTTCCCAGTCAAAAGTCCACCCCAATGTGTGCACGTGGTGCACCCTAGACCAATCAATTATATTAATTATTGAACCACTAATCATGTCCAAACCGAAAATTAGATGCTACATCTCGTTATTTACACTCGATGTATCCGAACCATAAATCTACATATAAACACACACACCCATGTGTATGTGTGTTTAGCATATAGTTATTTTATTAAATCTACAGTTTAAATCCACCTCGATGTAAATAACCAATTTTAGCATGTAACTCCCCGTCAGAAACCACCACCACCGCCGCGGGGGCGGCCCATCAACCTCCTCAATTCCACCACCACCTCCCTAGCATCCGGCCGATCGTCCTTATCCGCCGCAAGGCACCGGAAAGCAAGCTCCGCCACCGCATTCACCCCCTCCATCGCCACCACATCCACCACCAGAACAGGGTCCACCACCTGGTGGAGCAACCCCATCTGAATCTTCGGCACCACCAAATCAGCCAAAGTCATCTCCCTCAGCTCCCTCGTCTGATCCACCGCTCTCATCCCCGTAATCAATTCCAGCAACACAACCCCGAAGCTGTAGATATCGCTCTTCTCGTTCAACCTGAACGAACTGTAGTAATCCGGATCCAAATAACCCGGCGTACCCTGCGGACCCGTTGTCGTCTCGGAACATTCTAGAAGCCTCGATAGCCCGAAATCACCGACCTTCACTCTCATTTCACCGTCGATGAAAATGTTCGACGAAGTCACGTCTCTGTGGACTACCGGCGGAATCACGGAGAAGTGTAGGTACTCGACGGCCGCCGCCGTTTGGTAAGCAATTTCGACACGTGTGCTCCAATTTAGTGATCCTCTTCTGTAAATACTCTGTTTTCCTCCATGGAGATGGTCGGAGAGAGTACCATTCGGTACGTAATCGTACACCAAAATTAGGCCTCTCGGATCGCTGCAGTAGCCGTGGAGCTTCACCAGATTCGGGTGGTTGATTGAGGATAGGATCAGAATTTCGTTGCAGAAAGATTTCTTCGAGAATCCCTTGGCGGTGGCGGAGGAGTTGTGCTTGTGTAGGTATTTCACGGCGACTAATCTGCCGTCGTGTAGGTGGCCTAGGTAGACGGAGCCGAATCCTCCGTCGCCGATTTTGCGTTTGGGGTCGAAGTGGTTGGTGGATGTGGCGAGCTCTTCGTAGGTGAACTCCGGCGGGAGGAGGCTGGCGGAGCGGTGGCGGCGGAGGAAGATGATGGTTGGGTCTTCCTCTGCTTCAATTAGGGCTCTTCGTTTGGAC